CTTTTCCATTTACTGTTTTTAAATAAACCATTCCAGGAGAGTGAAATAGCAATCTATTTTCAAGCAAATCAGATTGGATTTCTGTTTTATGTAGTTGTATTTTTACATTTAATTAAAAACTACATGTTATGATGTGAAATAATTGCTATATTGAAGGCATACTTTTAAAAATTTCCATCTAGAAGAAGTTATATCAAATTAATTATTTTCCATTGTACGCTTCAAATATACGTAGATCTTTTTAATACGGTCATATATAAATGCCAGTTACTATCTTGTTAGATGAATGAGAACCTCTGTAAAAATATTTTAACCATGAGAATGTGCAAAAGCACCTATTTCAGGTACTGAAAAAAAAATGTCTACTGCACACCACAATCATTAAAGGTCTTCAGCTAGAAAACCTGTATGCGTCAATTACAGAACACTAATTTTGTTTATTAACATAACTTCTGATGGAATGATAAATAGAAAAATACAGAGTAAAGTCCTACTTTTGTTTCACAAGCTAATAAGAAACTGTGTACCTGTCAAGGTGACAAATGGATAGCCTTGACTAATTTACAGATCAAAATGTTAAAAATACAAGACATCTATATGTCCTTAGTTTTGTAAATTAAATCTGAACAAAGAAAAGATTAATACTTAAAGGTAAATCCAGCTTTCCAACAAAAATAAATCAGTGCCACAATCCATTGTACAATGATACGCTTGAACTTAAATTTTTAAAACTCAAGATTTTGATTATCAGCTACTAAAGTACATCTCATATTTAATTGCATGGAATTATTATACCTAGTTCTATTATTTAAAAAAAAGAACATTGGTATTTTAGATCTTGCCACTTCTTGAAAAATATACTAATATATTAGCATTTCTTTTTATTGAAAGAAAGTCTTATTTTTGCTATCTATAGCTACATCATAGTTCATTTCAATCAGGTCTAGATTGAACTATTTTATTATAAAATCAAATGAGTTTAGAGAAATGAAACTACAGCCCAGAATTGTTAAAAACATGGGAAGAGCTACATTTACTCAAAGCTCGATTAATAACTTAAAATTCTCCATTAGTGATTATAAAAAAAAGGCAGAACACAGCTGGCTATGTGTATGCCTTTGATAGTCGTAGAGCATGGATAGGCACTTCATCATTCTGCCTACATTTATCTGTTAAAATTATTATCAAATATCAGCCAGGATGCAGTCGTGAATCACGGACTGCTCCTCGTCTTCAGGGGAATGATACAATGAGGGTCTATTCATCAGTATGGCAATCGGCACAAGTAATTAGTTCCCTAGACTGAGATCTCCTACAAAGCTTATTTCAGTCAGTACCACAAACATATGACAATGAAAAGCTAATGGAAGCTGCTAAAATTTGTTAACCTCTTCTGCCATCAATCCTTCTGATGCTCTGTGCCACCGTATTATGCAAATATAGTAAATTATTAATTTGTCATCCATCTATCTTTCTGTACTTTTGATGGAATTAAGCGATTCTGTTCTTATTGATAACAATTAAAATATGACATGTTAAGCAACTATACTAAAACTATTAGAAAAATTAGATATAACAGTAGGCTCAGGCACAACATATCATTCTGTAACATAATTCAATATATCTTTAGCATCTAATCTTATTTTTGATTAAGCATAAGAAATTTGTATAGAATATCATGTCCCCTACGCATTTGTCAATTATTCACAAATAACAGCAAGTAAACTGTTAGGTTTGTTTATTTTGGGACTAATCCTCAAGGCAAGCAAATGGAAAACCTATACCCTTTCACATAGAAACTAATCTACTGAGCAGTTGCATAGCAATAGACCTTCAGGTAATATTTAATTGTGAGCCTGTTCTAAAAGAGTAGATCCCCTGGTCATTAATACACACTGATATTAATTTAAGCCACATTTAATAGAGTAACAGTTATAGAATTAATCAAATAACTACTGAAATTTGTTCAAAATCCAAACCAAAGCAACAATACATCACCTAACCTTCATACCCTTGTGTTAGAATTGAGACTGCAGGCAGGAGGAGAAAGACAAGAATATCACTTTGCCAGAATCTGAGTGATAGAATTAGACTGCTAAAGGAGTGAAGCTTTATAGAAGTAAACTGCTAAGATCTTGGATTGCTAGAGAATTGATGACGACCTCTATAACTGGATGTCTGACTGGAAAACTTTCGGGTCCTGCTGTAGAGGTTGCTATACGGAGTGAAGGTGCTGTATGGACTGGAGTAGTCCGTTAGCAAAAATTCATGTGCATATGCATGACTATCTACTTTTCATGGATCTGAAGGCTTATGAATTGCCAGTTATATGATTTACATAGGTTGGCTAGGGACCCTACTAACATGGTCCAGAGTAATTAGTGGTTCCTCAATAACAGTATTGAATGAGCATATAAAACTACTTCAAATTAAACATTTCCTTCAAAAAGTATTTCATTAATTTTTTTCTCCAAGAATTACTAAGATTCAAGATGACTGCCTGCCTGTCTCCCTCTTCCTTAAGATGTCCCCCCTATTCCTGTACAACTACTGCTAAATAGAAAATTACAGTTATTGGATCATGGATCACATGAAATGTACATGTCATGGATCACATGAAATGTACAACAACTGACATAAAATATAGCACAAGTTAATGAACATACTGTTACCAGAAAAATTAAAAAGGAGCATTCACTTCACTGTGGTCTATAGGAAATGTTCTTCAAGCTCAGTACGCCACAGATGGTCATCTCAAGAACAAGAATATCAAAAAAATCTATTTGCTCTCAACTAGTTACAAGAAATAACTACAAATAAAACAAGGTATACTAACTAGGCTAATGGTTTTGTTTCAGTGCTGCAAAACTGGAGTCCTAGGTCTGGGAGTTACCTTGAAACTCTCACACCTGAAGGAATTAAACAAAATGTAAGTGACAACTGGATAATGCTATGAGTGTGTAATGCTATTGCAGAAGAACCACTTCTTGCTTCATTATCCCTGGTATAACTGAAGCTGTTCTTGCACCATTACAAACATAGGGAGGGGCCAGTGACTACAGCTGCGGAGATAGAAAAGGGATTCATGGAGGGGGAGGGGAATGTAATCCCCCAATTGAAAGGGTAGAAGAGTCTTAGGACTATATCTAGGCCAGCATTTATTTCAAGCCAGATGTAACACAGAAGAGGGGAAGGTTACTCACTCTGCAGTAACTGAAGTTCTTCAAGATGTGTCCCCTTCTGGGTGCTCCACTGGAGGTGCGATAACGCCTCCTATGCCTGGGATCAGAGACCTTTGGTAGCAGTGCCTGTTTCCAGTCTCATGCCATGAGCAGCATCTATATAGCGCTGTGTGGTCCAACTGGTCTCAATTTCTTCTCTACCACAGCTTCTACTTTTGAACTCCGAAGAGAGGGAAGGAGGGTGGGTAGCGGAGCACCCATAGGGACACACATCTCAAAGAACCTTAGTTACTGCACAGATGAGTAACCTTCTCTTCTTCTTTAAGTAGCGTCCCTATGGGTGTTCCACTGTAGGTGACTATAGAGCAGTGCCCCTAGATAGAAGTCTGGGACTTCAAGTTACATCTACCAGGATGCTAGGACAGTGCATCCTAATAGGGAATCTTATTCTCATGGGTAATGGTATAGCGTTGGCTAAAAGTGTCTATGGCTGCCCTATTGTCCACTTTGCAAAGGTCAGAAATCGTCATGCTGTTTAGAAAGGCAATTGAGGTGGACAGCGAGCAAATGGAATGTGGTTGAGTTCCAGGTGTGGGTTGCAATTTGTATCATTGGTAGCAAAGGAGGATACACTCCAAGATCTATTTGGAAAGACATTGTTTGGATACAGCTGATCTCTTTGGACTTTCAGCAATAAAGAGGAATAAGCATAATGAGTGCCTGAAAGATTTAGTTCTGGCAAGATAAAAGGCTGTTTGTCTGACATCCAAGGTTTGAAGCGTGGTTTCATGTTGGTTGCCATGTGGCTTTGGGAAGAAGTAGGGAAGGTAGATACGTTTGTTTAGATGAAAAGAGGATGGCTGGGCTCAAATGGGGGGCCAGTCAGAAAGCATAAAACTAGTCTGGTATCCCAAGATGTGGTGGCTCATACTTGAGGGTACAGGTTTTGAAGGCCCTTAAGGAA